AACATGCAGAAGAATGAAACTAGATCAATTTCTCACACCATACACAAAAATAAACTCAAAATGGATAAAGAACCTGAAGGTGAGACAGGAAACCATCAAAACCCTAGAGGAGAAAGCAGGAAACAACCTCCTCGACTCCCACTGCAGCAGTTTCTTACTTGACACATCCCCAAAAGCAAAAGAATCAAGAGCAAAAGTGAACTCTTGGGACCTCATCAAGATTAAAACCTTCTGCACGGCAAAGGTAACAATCCACAAAACTAATAGGCAACCTATGGAATGGGAAAAGATTGTTGCAAATGACATATTAGATAAAGGGTTAATATCCAAAATCTATAAGGAACTCACCAAACTCCACACCCGAAAAACAAACAACCCAGTGAAGAAATGGGTAGAAGATATGAACAGACACTTCTCCAAAGACATCCAGATGGCCAACAGACACATGAAACGATGCTCAGCATCCCTCCTCATCAGGGAAATACAAATCAAAACCACACTGAGATACCACCTCAGGCCAGTCAAAGTGGCTAAAATGAGCAAATCAGAAGACTCTAGATGCTGGCGAGGATGTGGAGAAACAGGCACCCTACTACACTGTTGGTGGGAATGTAAACAGATGTAACTGCTTTGGAAAACAATGTGGAGGTTCCTCAAAACGTTAACAATAGAACTCCCCTATGACCGAGCAATAGCACTGCTAGGAATTTAACCAACGGATACAGGAGTGCTGATGCATAGGAGCACATGTACCCCAATGTTCACAGCAGCACTCTCGACAATAGCAAAAACATTGAAATAGCCTAAGTGTCCATCAACGGATGAATGGATCAAGATGACGTGCTTTATCTATAAGATGGAATACTACATGGCAATGAGAAAGAATGAAATCTGTCCACGTGTAGTAACACGGATGGATCTTGAGGGTGTTATGCTGAGTGAAATAAGTCAGGCAGAGAAGGACAGATACCATATGTTTGCACGTATAGGAGGATTAGGAGGAACTTAACGGACCAAGGGGGAGAATAAGGGGGGAAATAGTGGTGGAGGGGGAGAGAGGCAAACCATGAAAGACTCTTGAATACTGAGAACAAACTGAGGTCTGATGGATGGGAGGGGAGGGGGGAGATGGGCATGGATGAGGGCACTTGTGGGATTGAGCACTGGGTGTTATATGGAAACCAACTTGACAATAAACTATTTGTAAAAATAAAATAAAATAAAATAAAAATAAAAAGCAAAAGAGCAGAAACGCAAAGAAGTAACCAGAAAGTTTCCTCACGTTGAATTCCCTGGAAACATTCTGAGAATAAAAACAAAAGCTGGACACAAACATATAGGAAGTAGAAAGCATATATAAGCCTGCAGAAGAATCAATAAACTGTCCATATTGGTTCAAAAATAAATAAATAAAATAAATTTAAAAAGAAATTAACAACCCAGGAAACAATAGACATTGCCAAGGATGCCAAAGGTATACTTTAGCACCGTTACTGGAAATGCAAAGTAGCACGGACACTCTCGAAATACTATGGAACTGCCTCAAAGATTTAAAATTTGATTTACCCTAGGACGCAACAATTGCACTACTAGGTATTATCCAAAGAATACTGGAGCGCCTGGGTGGATCGGTCGGTTAAGTGTCCGACTTCTGACCAGGTCATGATCTCATGGTTCGTGGGTTCGAGCCCTGCGTCGGGCTTGTGCTGACTGCCAGCTCAGAGCCTGAAGCCTATTTCGAATTCTGTGTCTCCCTCTCTCTCTGACCCTCCCCTGCTCACGCTGTCTCTCTCTCTCTCTCTCTCCTAGAAATAAAAAAAAAAAGACCTTGCAATCCATATAGAGCAATTTATTCATTGAGCAATTTATTCTTGAGGGCTTCCTGGATATTACAACAATAGAAATGAATAATCTTATTCAGAGCCCAGCAAACTACAGCTCATGGGTCAGCTCATGGGTCAAATCCAGTCCACCACTTGTTCGTATAAATAAAGTTTTATTGCAACAAACCCACATCCATCCATTTGGGTATCTTCTATGGCTGCTTTTGCACTACGACTGGAGTATTAAGTAGTCATGACAGAGATCACACAACTTGCAACCTGCAAAATGTTTACTATTTGGCCTTTTGCATAAAAAAGTTCAACGACCCCTGGTCTTATGTAGAGACACAATCAGATCTTGACTGTGAAGGAGAGATTTGGGATATAAATATAAGAAATATAGACAAAGAGCATCACTCAATCAGGGGATTGTGTCAGTGTATATAACTTGTGTGAATAGCAGCTCTGGAAGCATACAGGTGCCTAGCACACTACGGGCTTTATTGTACATAATATTCACAACTATCATTTGAAGTAGGAACTCTTATACAGTCATTCTGCAGATGGAAACATTGAGGCTTAGAGAGGGAGAAAATAATGTTTGGAAAAGAGAATAAATACCTATATCCACTACCCAGCCAGATCGTACCTAATTATCCTACAAAATGCTAGAGGGGCTTGAGGGAGTGTGGACTCAACTTTGCATATCTCTCCTGGGTTCCTAAACTGGGTCAGTCCATTGTCTGAACAGAAAATCTCGTTCGCAAGTGCAGTAGTAACTATCCAAAATTTTGGTGTGGAAAGGTCCATGAGGAAAACTGATGGGCCCAGCCGATCTCCCACCCAGAGACCAGCACCAACTACCAGCCATATAAGCGAGGCCATTTTGGAACTCCCACACATCCCATTGCTCCCCAATAAACCCATGCAGTCATCCACAGAATCATTAGCAAGCAGAAAGAGATGTTTGTAAGCCACTCTGTTCAGGGTATGTTGACTTCCATTAAAAGCCCTCAGCATGGCTGGGAGCGTTACCTGTACACCTGAAATCCTCTGGTTTGTCAGGGGTCCAGACAACAGGTGAAAAGAACCCAGGCAGGCAGGAGCAATGGTATCCTCCCAGGGTGTTGGTACAGATGGAGTTGAGGCCACAAAGAGTGGAGTTCCTGGCACATTCGTCCACATCTAAGCAGAAAACAAGGCTAAGTCAACAGGATAAAGGACACTGAGGCCGTGGTGGTGCACAGCCCCATCCTGACCGAAGCCAGCGGTTTCCCAGCTCTGCTCCCACCCCTTAAACACCGCTGATGGGAGGTACAAAGAGCCATGACTGTGACCCACACAAATCTTGTGATGAGGCTCTCCACACCTCGGGATAAAATCCAAACTCCCCACTAGAACACAGGAGACTCAGTTTGTACCCACCTGAGCTCACCTAGGTAATCCTTCCTTCCTTCCTTCCTTCCTTCCTTCCTTCCTTCCTTCCTTCCTTCCTTGTATTTTCTTTTTTTTTTTTTACGAATAGTTTATTGTCAAATTAGTTTCCACATAACACTCAGTGCTCATCCCCAAAGTGCCCTCCTCCATGCCCCTCCCCCCCACATCCATCAGTCCTCAGTTTTTGTCAGCATTCAAGAGTCTCTCATGGTTTGCCTCTCTCCCTTTCCCCCACCATTTCCCCCCTTCTTCTCCCCCTTGTTCCTCCGTCAAGTTCCTCCTAATCCTCCTATACGTGCAAACATATGATATTTGTCCTTCTCTGCCTGACTTATTTCGCTCAGCATAACACCCTCAAGGTCCATCCATGTTGCTACACATGGCCAGATTTCATTGTTTCTCACTGCCATGTAGTATTCCATGGTATAGATAAACCACATCTTCTTGATCCATTCATCTGTTGATGGACACTTAGGCTCTTTCCATGTTTTAGCTATTGTGGAGAGTGCTGCTATGAACATTGGGGTACACGTGCTCCTATGCCTCAGCATTTCTGTATCCCTTGGGTAAATTCCTAGCAGTGCTATTGCTGGGTCATAGGGGAGTTCTATTGTTAGTTTCCTGAGGAACCTCCACACTGTTTTCCAGAGGGGCTGTACCAGTTTACATTCCCACCAACAGTGTAGGAGGGTTCCCGTTTCTCCACATCCTCGCCAGCATCTAGAGTTCTCTGATTTGCTTGTATTTTCAAATTTTTAATGCTTTATTTATTTCTGAGAGAGAGACAGACAGTGTGAGCAGGGGAGAGTCAGAGAGAGAGGGAGACACAGAATCTGAAACAGGCTCCAGGCTCTTAGCTGGCTGTCAGAACAGAGCCCAATGCAGGGCTGTAACCCATTAACCATGAGACCATGACCTGATCCGGGTTGGATGCTCAACCGACTGAGCCACCCAGGCACCTCTCATCTTTTCTTTCGAATCCCTTATTACTTTCAGTAATCCAGATTCACTGATTGCCTGTAGGTCCATGAAGGCTCATTCTCTGCTCCCTCAGCCTTGAACTCACTTGCCCTCTCATTCCTTGATAAATCTCAAGGCCTCCCCCTAGGAAATGTGATGTTATCAATAATAATAACCGAGAGGCATCCAAGTGGAGGGGTGGAGAGCATGGACATCCTGGGCTCAAAGCTTGGCTCTGTTTTTACTGGCTGTGTGTCACTGGGTGCCGTGGGCTGAATTATGTCCTCCTAGATTCATACATTAAAGCCCTAACACTCAATGAGATGGTATCTGGACAAAGGGCATTTTCAAGATGATTAGGTTGATAAGGTTTTAAGATGAGATTAGTGCCCGGGGGCACCTGGGTAGCTCAGGCAGTTGAGCTTCCGACTCTTGGTTTAAGCTCAGGTCATGATCTCACAGCTGGTGTGTTCAAGCCCTGCACTGGGCTCCGCACAGACCGTGTGGAGCCCGCTTGGGATTCTCTCTCCCCTTCTCTCTTCCTCTCTCAGTCGCTGTCTCTCTATTCCTTCTGCATGCTGGCGCTCTCTCTCTCTCTCTCTCTCTCTCTTTCTCTTTCTCTCCCTGACTCTCAAAAATAAATAAATAAACATTAATAAATAAGAAAGGTACCCTTAAAAGCAGGGGAAGAGACACCAGAGCTCACTGTCCATGAAGACCCAGAATGAAGGCAGTCATGTGGAAGCCAGAAGGACAGCCCTCTCCAGAACCCGGCTGTGCTCTCAGAGTCCAGCCTCCACAAGGAGAGAAAATAGATCTCAATGTAGAAACCACTCTGCCTGCAGTGTTTTGTTCTGGTGGCCCTGAACTGATAATGCACTGGGCAAGATAGGTCACCTCTGTGTGTCTCAGTGCACCCTCGTGTGTCAGATAGGATAATAATCGTACTCGCTCCATAGGGTTGTTTGGGGGCATTAAATAAGGTGTCATCTGTGAATCACTCAGAAAAGAGCCTGGAGAAAAACAATGATGAGGTAAGTATTTATTAACTAAAACAGAATTAACTGCTAACATGCTTTTTTACGTGACAGGCACTGAGGAGGTCCCTCAGGAATGCACACGGCAGCCCTGTGAGGTGCACACTAACATTCCTTCATTTTTCATTTAGGAAATAGGCTTCACAATTGTGCAGTCACACAGCCCGTGAAAAGCACATCAGGATTTCGGCTCCGTCTGGTTCTGGACAATTTGGAAAACAGCTTCCTAGGCTGTTTTGAGTCAGAGTCTCGGAATCTGGGCTTAGTCAATGTCAGCCCTATGCAAGCTCCCACCGTGGGTTGCCAGATGTAGCAGCCTCATTTGGAGACAGGATGGCAAGATGGTTGGAGCACGGGATGTGAAGTCACACCTTGGCACAGTTTGGATCCTGACTTCCCTACTCTATACCTATTTGACCTTGGAAAGGTTTTTCTACCTAAATGGAGGCCCAGGATCCTCATCTGTAAAATGGGCACGAAATACCACTAATACCATCAGGTTTTAGGGAAGACACTGAGACATGTAGGGAAGAGCTTAGCACCTTGGTTGGGATCCTGCCTCTTACCCTTTGTATCTGATGTTCCTCCTGGAACGCCTTTCCCCCAGATACCCAATATCTCACTCTGTCATGTTCTTCGCCTCTTTTCTCAAATGTCAACATCTCTGTGTAGCCTTTGCTTACCACTGACTCTATTAAAAGTTGACCCCCACTCCTAGCACTGCCTATCGACCTTTCCTGCTTTATTTAACATGATCTCTTTCAACTATTCCTGGCACACAGATGTTCATGGATTTATTTTGCTATCTATCCCCACCCCCACACTACATGAGGATGTCCAGGAGAACAAATAGCTTTGTCTGTGTTATTTATTGCTTTATCCACCATCCCTAGAATAGTGCCAGGCGAATAGTTGGTGTTCAGGAAGTATTTGTTGAGTGAGTGCATGAATGAATGGATGAGCAGTTATTGGCATCAGCTTAGCAGGAGACGGCTTTGAGCTCAACCGAGATTCAATCTGACCCCTTGCCCACTACTGATGTCTTCCCATGCAGACTTGGACCTGGCTCCCCAGCAGGCCCTTCCCTCCTACCTTCACATGTCTCTCCTGAGCCCTGGAAGCTTGTGTTTCCACTACTGGATGCAAATCCTTGGTTGCAGACACAAGAGTAGCTTCCAGGACGGTTGTTGCAAGTCGCATGCTCCGGGCAAATTCTGATATCAGCACATTCATCCACATCTGGCCGGTGGAGATGAAAACCCAAGACAAAGCAGATGAGGAAATGAGAAAAGGAGATTCTAATGCAAACAGAGAGTCACTGTGCATGTCCTCCCCTTACTCCTCATCTCCCTTGCACTTACACTTGACCACAAATATAAATTATGACCCAATGTATATAGTTGGAGGGTGGTAAATGGCTCCCAAACAGATGAACATAGAATGGCTGTGCGCCTTTACTCCTCCCTGCACCCACACCATGGGATGCAGATGGTGCAGTGCAAAGTGACTTTGCCACTCTTCCTTTGTAACGGGAGCTTGTTTCCTCACACCTTGAATCTAGCTTAAATCTAGTTAGCCTATAACTGTCACTGGCCAATAGAACACAGCAGAAATGATGTCGTGCCAGTTCCAAAATGAGACGTCTAGAGATTTGTTTGGTTCTGCTCATTCTTTAAGCTCCTTGTTTCTGCCATATGAACAAGTCCTAGACTACCATAATGGAGAATGAGAGACAAGGTGGAATAGAGATGGACCATCCCAGGGAAGCCCCCGAAATGTGAGGCAGCCCACGCATGATGAGCAAAGCTGACACAGCTGACCACAGACACAGGAACAAGCCTAGTACAGACCCAAGCAGTGGCCAGTGGAGAAAACCTAAATTTCCAATGCACAGAATACAAACCAACTGTACAGTGCTTGTTTCTAGCCACTGGCACTCAGGGTGGTCTGTTTTTCAGTAATAGCTAACTGCCACAAATGTATCAGAAAAACCAGACAGGACTTCAAACATTTTTGACTCCAAGCCAAGAGGATGTGATAAGGGCTTGATCACTCCATCCCTTGCTTGATGGAGTCACCTTCCCTACAAATGAGCATGGAGAACAATAGTTCTGAACCAGACCCAGGAAGACAGAGCCCTTGCATCTTGTGAGAAAATTCTGGCTGCATATTGGAAGGAAGGATTCAATGGGACAAGTCTGTAGGAAGGACAAGCCCAGGAGGCTGCTGAAATAATGATGAAGCCTGAACCAAGGATGAGGAAAAATGGAGAGATTCAAGACATACTTAGCCAGTAAATTCCCCAAACTATAATGACTGATTTACTACAAACGGTGTGGAGTGTGGGGGTGGAGAGTAAACCTGAGGTCTTGAATCAAATCCCTTTTAGGAAAAAGTTCTGAAGTTTGAGTCTGAGCTCACCCTAGGAGAGAGTTTTCTACCTCAGAACTAATGACATCTGGGACCAGATTTGGTTTGGTTGTAGGAAGGTTCTTCTGGGCATTGCAAGGTTTTTAGCAGATTTGTGGCCTCTCCTTACTAGAGAACAGTACCAGCCACAACCTCCCTTCACCACCACGAGTTGAACAAATTGCTCTAGGGACAGAGCCCACCATTACCCTCAGGTACTGTCTGACCCACTGCTGGACTCAGCGCAGACCCTCATCTGGAATTCCCATCCTGACTCTTCCTCTAAACAGCTGAATATCCTTGGGGAAGTTACCTCAATGGTCTGAGCCTTAATTTCCTCATCCCAAAATGAAGAATGTAACATCTACCTAACAGGACCATCAAGTGAGGTGGTTGTTAATTAATTGAGTAGGTATAGGAAGAAAAGCAGGTCCTCTGTAACTTCACAGATCAAGTTGTGAGAGATGAATCCAGCCTGGCAGCTACAATTGTGGCTTCCCTAGGAAGTGGTACACTCAGCATGCTCTGGGTGACCCCACTGGACAGGCATTCATTGATGTCTGAGGAGCAGTGGAGGAGAGTGAACCGACCAAAGGTTGTGTGTCAAAGGTGAGAAACACATGTACCACCCAGTGGTCTCTGTCAACCAAAGACCCATGCCTGAGAGAGTTACCTTTACATGAGAAACGGCCCAGCTTTACCGAAGTCCAGTCATTTCCAGTGGGAGAAGAGAAACCAGGCAAACAGCTACACTTATACCTCCCCGGCAGGTTTCTGCAGATTGAGCTGGGACCACATGCTTGGGGGTTTTGAGAACATTCATCTGTATCTAGACACAGAAAGAGTTGGAGTTACAGATTTGCTTCATATTGTGTAGCAGACTGTATTTTCAAAGATGGTGGGAATAGTGTCTTCCATGCCGTACACCCTGCCTTTATTCTATGAATTCGTACTCCTTCCAGCAGGCAATGGGGTCTATGTTCCCTGCTCTTGAATCTGAGCATGCTGGGACTCTGAGCTGGTGGCAGTAGGTCATAAAGATGAGGCACCTCCTCCTTAATCTCTTGAGATGCTCCTTCTTGGAACTTAGGTGTCGTATGTGAGGAATCCCAACCCGCCATGAAAAAGCAGCTCCCATGGAGAAGAACCATGTGCCCGGCCCACAGCCCTGGTGGAGCAGCCAGCCCAAGGCAGCAGCAGCTCACCAGCCTTGTGGGTGTGCTCACTGGGTAACGGATTCTCTACCCCAACATGAGGCAACTCATCTGACACTGCGTGGAACAGAGAACAGCCATAGTCACCGAAATCAATTCAGATGCTAGACACGTTTATGAACAAGATAAATGATTGTCATTCTTTTGATGTATTCAGTTTTGACGTACTCAGTTTTGATGTACTCAGTTTGATGTATTACGTATCTACCCAGGAGTAGATAATAAAGAATTACTTGCAAAGCATTGAGAGACCCTTAAAATTGAGCATTCACGGTGCCATGGGGAGGCCCAGCTCGAGTCTCCTTCAGATCTGGTTGGCCACATCACCTAAACACTCGCTGTGTAATTGTCACGCAAATATAACCTCAAGGGAAGTCTCTTAGAGCTCCTTCCAGAAAATTATGCGTCTAGACAGAAATCTAGAGCTGCTCTGGGACATCAAGATCAGATCACAGGAATGTTCATCCCACCTTAGTTTGAAGTAGTAAAACATGAGAGACAACTGTTAAGGTGAGATAGAATCCAGAGTTGACATAAAGAATAAGGTAACGTGCTCCTTTATTCAACACATATCCACTGAATACTCACAATGTATTAGGCACCAAACTGGGATCAAAGGCATAAAGGGGATGAAATCCTTGCTGTAGTATCCATTATTTTCTAGAAGGAGATTAACGATTTCAAGCCAAATTGAAAAACCAGGGTCTATCAGGACTATGTAGCTTACCAAATGACCCACGGACTGTAACTCAAAGATAACGAAGGAGTTGAGGCCTCCCTGGGTATTACAACAATAGAAATGAATAATCTTATTCAGACCCGGTGAACTATAGCTCCTGGGTCAAATCCAGTCCACCACTTGTTTGTATAAATAAAGTTTTATTACAACAAACCCACATCCATCCACCTGGGTATCGTCTATGGCTGCTTTTGCACCATGACTGGAGTATTAAGCAGTCATGACAGAAATGACACAGATTGCAACTACCAAAATGTTTACTATTTGGCCTTTTGCATTAAAAACTTCAATGATCCTTGGCCTTAGGCAGAGACACAATCACATCTCGACTGGGAAGAAGAGAATTGGGACATAAATGTATGAAATAGAGACAAAGAGTGTCACTCATTCAGGGATTGTGTCTGTGTATGTTACTTGTGTGAACAGCAGCTCTTGGTAGAATACATGTGCCTAGCACACTATGTACTTTATTGCCCTTAATTTTTCCAAGTATCCTTTGAGGTAGGTACTCTTATTTTTATTTTTTTAAATTTTTTAAATGTTTTATTCATTTCTGAGAGAGACAGTGTGAGCAGGGGAGGGTCAGAGAGGGAAGGAGATACAGAATCTGAAGCAGGCTCCAGGCTCTGTGCTAGCTGTCAGTACAGAGCCCGACATGGGGCTCGAACCCATGAACCGTGAGATCATGACCTGAGCTGAAGTCAGACACTCAACCGACTGAGCCACCCAGGCACCCCTGAGGTAGGTACTCTTATACACTCATTCTGCAGAAGGAAACATTGAGGCTAGGAGAGGATAAATATATTTCCCACCTCCTCACAAAGTGAGTGTGGCAAATAGGTAACATGATTCAGAAACTGCCTTGAGAGTTGTAAAGACCTGGGTTTGGAGTCCAGTTCAACCATACGACTGTGACTAGGTCATTCCAGCACTCCAAGCCTCAGTTTCCCCATCTGCACAGTGGAGATCATCATGATGCCTACACTCAGTTTCATGAAAAATGCACATAAATCCCTTCACTGGGGGCCTGGTATTTAGTGAATTTTAGAAATTCTTGTTTTCTTCATGGAAATAGAACAAAAATGAATCAGTAGTATTTCTGGATATTGACAAATGGCATGATTTTTACTTTTATTTTCATCCTAATGCTAGTTCCAAATAGTTGGAATTCTTAGTGCACAAGGATCCCTGTCATTAGAAAAAGAAAGATGAAAAGGGGCAGGGCAGGAGAGAGGGAGAAAATAGTGTTTGGGACAAAGAAAAAGTACCTACATCCACCGCCCAGCTAGCTTCCACCTGATCATCCTACAAAATGGCAGAGGGTTTGAGGGTTTGACTCACCTTCGCAGGTCACTCCCGGGCCCCTGAACTGAGTTAGTCCATTGCTGGGCAGAAAGCCTTGTTTGCAAGTACAGTAGTAACTATGCATGGTGTTGGTGCAGATCGCAAAAGACGGGCATATGGTGGTGTCCTCACACTCATTCACATCTGGGCAGGACAGAAGGAAGAGCTTGTGTGAGGGTTCCAGGGTAGGCATCAAGGGGAAGCAGCATGAGAGGGTGAAGGGGACTGTTGTGGGCTGAAATATACCCTCCCTCTCCCACCAAATAAGCTGAAGCCCAAAATCCTGGTCCCTGAGATGTGACCTTATTTGGAACAGGGTCTCAGAAGATGTAATTAAGACCCAAGCTAGGGTGAGATCCTACCTGAGTTGGGTGGTCCCTTAATCTGATATGATTGGCGTATCTATAGGAAGAGGAGGAGAGATACAGGACCAAGGAGAACACCACGTGATCACAGAGGCAGAGGCTGGAGTGATCCACCTTCAAACCAAGCAACACCAAGGAACACCAGCCACCCCAGCTGGGTGACAGGCACAGAACAAACTCTCCCTTAGAGCCTTCAGAGAAAGCTTGGCCCCGTGCACACCTTAATTCAGACTTCTGGCCCCCAGAACGACGAGAGAATAGAGTTCCGTTGTTTTAAATACCCTGTGGTATTTAAATATTTAAATACCTTGTGGTAACAGCGGTCCTGAGAAACCGCTCAGTGCTAACAAGGACCTTGGACACCCTAGAATTCTCCTGTTCTAAATGCAGTTCATGGCCAGGAGCATCAACACTGCCTGGGAGGTTGATGGAAATGCAACATCTCGGGCCCCTGTCCCAGAACTGATGAATGAGAGCCTGCATTTTAGCAAGACCCCTGGGTGATCTGTGTGCACATGAGAGTGTGAGAAGCACTGATGTTGGCATTGCCACTCTGGGTGTGGTCCTCGGACCAACAGCATCTGCCTCACCTGCGTCCCGGATCTGGAAAAAGAAGATGCTGATTCTGCAGGTCTGGGAAAGTGCCTGAGATTCTTCATTTCTCAAGCCCCTGAATGACGCTGATGCTGCTGGTCCATGGACTACAGCACGAGCATCAGAGCTCTAGACTTAAGAGTTTAGTCAAAATTTCAGCCTTTGGAACACGTAAGACCTTCTCTAAAGCTCCAGAAGTAAACCTGCAAAGAGAGAATGGCAGCTGTCCTCACAGACCTATCTCCTCCTCTTCCTTTTAGTAACAGGACCATCCTGTTAAAGACTGCATCCCCAGGGTCTCCTGCAGCTCATGTGAGTACGTTCTGGCCAATGGGCATGCGTGGAAGTGACATGTGCACCATTTAGCCATGGTCTTGAAAAGAATAAACATGTTGGGGCACATGGGTGACTCAGTGGGTTAAGCGTCTGACTTCGGCTCAGGTCATGATCTCACAGTGAGTGAGTTTGAGCCCTGTGTCCACCTCTGTCAGCTCAGAGCCTGGAACCTGTTTCCGATTCTGTGTCTCCCTCTCTTTTCCCCTCCCCTGCTTGCACTCTGTCTCTGTCTCTCTCAAAAATAAATAAACATTTAAAAATTTTAAAGAAAGAATAAACATGCTTTCCACTTCATTCTTCCCCTTCCCCCTGGGCGGGAACATGGAGAGAGTGGGCTGGTCTACCCTTAACCCTGTGGAGGATGGCTTGGGAAACCACCATGCTAAGGGATGGAGAGGCAGCAAGGTGGAATGATCTCATGGACTGGCCAGCCTGGTCACTCTGTTCCACCTGTAAGTTAGAGATTTATAAGAATGAACTTCTAAGAAATAAATGCCTAAGTTGTTTGGTTACTATAGAAACAGACAAAACTACATCCTAGCCAGTCCAGCTCTGGGAGACAAGTGATTTCACCTCTCTGTACCTCAGTTTATCTGTTTACCTCTCACCCTCACATCCAGTGGGACCCAAGCCCTGTTGTTCTCTACCCAAATAGTATTGGACACCTACACACTTTTCTCCATCACCACAGCTATGCTCGTGGTGGGTTCTACATCCCTGTGTCTTCCGATGTACCCTGCAATCTCTCTTCCACATAGTAGTCAGCTCTGAATGCACATCTGATTATCTACCCCCACCTCTGCTCTCAGTGCTCCCTGTTGCACTCAGAATTAAAGTCCAAATCACTTAAACAGGACCCACAAGCCCCAGTGACCCGAACAAACCACATCTTTAAGCCACATCTCATGTAAATCTCCATATCTAGACTTCCTGCTACAGAACCTTTGCACATTCTATATCCTTTGCTTCTGCCTTGCCTGCCCAGCTCCTACTCATTCTTCATGTCTTTCTTAAGTGTCATTTCCCCTAAAAGCTTCCCCTGTGTTCTCCATCATAGCCTCCTGTGCTCCTTCTTTATGACACTTATCATAATTATAGTTGCTTGAATATTTGTATGGTCAGCTTTCTAGTAATCATATCCCCCACCAACTGTGAGCTCCAAAACAAAGCCAGAGTTGGAGGCAGGTTTCTTGCTGACTGGGAAGAAACTTATTTGAATCTATTATTCCTGTGGTCAGCAGAATTATGGCCCCTCCTTAGATGAGCATATCCCCTTCCCCTTTTTTGTCATTTTTAAAATGTACATCCAAGGTAGTTAGCATATAGTGCAACAGTGATTTCAGGAGTAGATTCCTTGATGCCCCTTACCCATTTAGCCCCTCCCCCCAACAACAACCCCATCCAGTAACCCTCTGTTTGTTCTCTGTATTTAAGAGTCTCTTGTGTTTTGTCCCCCTCTGTTTTATATTATTTTTGCTTCCCTTCCCTTATGTTCATCTGTTTTGTGTCTTAAAGTCCTCATATGACTGAAGTCATATGATATTTGTCTCTCTCTGACTAATTTAACTTAGCATAATACCCACCTGTTCCATACATGTAGTTGTAAATGGCAAGATTTCATTCTTTTTGATTGCTGAGTAATACTCCATTGTATAAATACACCACCTCTTCTTTATCAATTCATCCATCAATGGACATTTGGGCTCTTTCCATACTTTGGCTGTTGGTGATGGTGCTGCTATAAACATCAGGGTGCATGTGCCCTGATCACATCCTTTATGTAAATGTTTATTTACTATTTTTTAGACAGAGAAAGAAAGAGAGAGAGAGCAGAGGAAGGGTATAGAGAGAGGAAGACAGAGGATCTGAAGTGGGCTCAACGCTAGCAGCAGAGAGCCTGATGTGGGGCTCGAACTAATGAACCATGAGATCGTGACCTAAGCTGAAGTCGGATGTCCAGCTTCACACAGTTGGTCACATAGGCGCCCTCAGAGATGACCACATCCTAATCCCTGGAACCTGTGCTGTGTGGCAAGAAAGAACTATGGATTCCGATGGAATTTGCTGATCCTGACATGAAGGGGTTATTCTGGATTACCCAGATGGGGTCAGGGTAATCACAAAGGTCTTTAAAACGGAAAGATGAAGCCAAGAGAGGAAGTGACGCAATGTGAGAAAGACTTGGCCAGTCACAGCCAGCTTTGAAGATGGAGGAAGAGGGACATAAGCCAAGGAATCCAAGTAACCTCTAGGAGATGGAAAAGGCAAAATGACACATTATCTTCTTGAATCTCCAGAATGGAACTCATCCCTGTTCACACCTTGATCTTAGCCAATCAGGACCCACTTTGGACTTCTGACCTCCAAATCTGTAAGGTAAGCTTTGTGGTGATTTGTTATAGCCGCCGTAGGAAACTCATACAATTCCCAATATACAGATGTGGACGACTGAGTCTCAGTGAGGTAAGTAACTTCTCCAAGAACTGACAGCTGGGGACTGGCAGCCCCAGGCCTGTCCAAACCTGGGGTGCGTGATTTTCACTACTAGTACCCAAGAAGAGGTAGATCTGGCTGGAAATGGAATCAATTTTCAGGTAATTTCTAAGACCATTGTTTGTAAAACACTTTTGTAATTGGTTGTTTTTTTTAAATGTTTTAAATGTTCTATTTATTTCTGTGTGTGTGAGAGAGAGAGACAGCGTGAGCAGGGGAGGGTCAGAGAGAGAGGGAGACACAGAATCTGAAACAGGTTCCAGCCTTTGAGCTGGCTTTCATGACGCGCAGAGCTCGACACGGGGCTCGAACCCTCGAACCTTGAGATCATGACCTGAGCTGAAGTCGGATGCTTAACCGACTGAGCCCCCCAAGTGCCCCTGTAATCGATTGTTTTAAATCTGTTTCCCTGATGGGATTTGAGCTCCTGGAAGGCAGGGATTTATGCCTGTCTCATTCATGCTGTGTGCTGAGTGCTTAGAACAGTGCCCGGTACACAGCTGCTGCTCAATAATGAAGACCTCACTGAGAAAGTAGCACTGGAACAAAGACCAGAGGGAGGTGAGTGAGCTACAAAGGTACTTAGGACAGGGGAAACAGCAATGCATGAAGGGCCTGGACCACATCTGGTGGTTTTGTGGAATGACGAGGCGGCCGGTGTGTTTGAAGCAGAGTGCACAAGGGTAAAGGAGAGGTGGGGATGCGGCTCAATTGGTGTAGGACTGGCTAGACTACTGTCACACCTCAGCTTTCTCTCAGAGAGTGACGGGAACCGTGGGGGAGGCTCAGCACAGGAGGCACACAGCACAACTGAGGTTTAACAGGATCCTCTGGTCGGAAGATGAACGGTCTCAGAGGGACAGAGGCAGGATGACCAGGAAGGGGGCACTGCACCTGTCCAGGTGAGCAAGGATGGCAGGTGCAGCCCGGCTGAGAGCAGCAGAAGGCACGAGAGTCGATCGGGGTTCGTTCTGAAGGTGACGCCAGCAGGATTTGCCAGTGGGTTGGAGCAGGATGTGAAAGAAAGAGAGGGTTGGTCAACTATCTTTATCCATTCCGTCAGTCGTTTATTAGTTTTATGGATTGTTTCCTTTGTCGTGCAGAAGCTTTTTATCTTGATGAGGTCCTAACAGTTCATTTTTGCTCTTGATTCCCTTGCCTTTGGGGATGTGTCAAGTAAGAAATTGCTGCGGTTGAGGTCAAGGAGGTTGTTTCCTGCTTTCTCCTCTAGGGTTTTGATGGTTCCTGTCTCACATTCAGGTCCTTTTTCATTTTGAGTTTATTTTGGTGTATGGTGTGAGAAAATGATCTAGTTTCATTCTTCTGCATGTTGCTGTCCAGTTCTCCCAGCACCAT